TGATACAGAGCCAAGGATGCCATAAAACTGGGGCTGCACCTCGACATCTCCAGCATCTCCTGGGCAGGTGGGTGCTGCCACAGCCATCCCCCTGCTCCCGGGCAGCCTTCCTCCCCGAGGAGGATGAGGAACCGTGGTCTCAACACGCCCCTCACGGGTGCAGAGGGATGCACAGCTGTGCTTCCTTCCAGATGTTGCTGCCTGTCCCCCTTGATTCTGTCCCCTGTCTTTGCACCTCAGGGAGTCTTTAATCCTTTGCAGAGCACCAAAGAGCCACCAGCCCTCTCTGTTCCAGCCTGGTGAGTGGAGTAGGGACATCACCCCTGTGGTCCAGGTGGGAGAACTGAGACAGAGACCTGAGAGTCTGAGGACAACCTGAAGCTCCCAGCTCCATGCTCACCTCTCACCAAGCAGGAGGTGGTTTAGTACCCAAAATAAACCTTCAGGCCACTTCTCCTCCAGCCCTAGTGTGAAGCAACTGAGAAAATACCATCTACTCTTCCCAGGCTGAGCCGTGTGGGATCTGCTTTGCTTTCCTCCAAGCAGGAGTCTCTTCTGTGGAGCTTCCAGTGCTGGCAAGGAGCTAAAAACGACCTGTGACTCGGGCTGTCTCTTCAATCCCCAATAAATTAGGGCCGAGCACAGTTTCAGATGTTAATTGCCAGAGAGAAGGGGATCAGTTTGGACATAATAAGGCAGGGGGGAGAAGGGGAGCTCGGTGCCTTTGGCAGCATTTCTTATTTTAATTGCAGCTCCTTGCATATTCACAGGGCTGAACTCTGCAGCCTGCACCCGAGTACAGTCAGCTGGAGCTTTATTAAGATTTTCCAAGCTCTGCTCAGAGCAGAAAGCCCCAACAAAGTCATGGAAAGCCAGAAATAGAAAGCTGTGCAGCTTGCACCATATAATGCTCTGCAGCCAGCTTGAAGCACACGCTGAATTAATCCCCAATTTAATTAACGCTCCTCTAATCCTTCAGCGAAAAGAGCAGCTCAGGATTTGTTTGGAAACACTGTCCTGTGTACAGGAATGTGTGGTAGTGTGTTTAAAAATGCAGTCATGGAGGAGTTCTTGCTTTATTCCCAGCCTGGGATGCACTGAGAAAGGTATTTCCAGGCACTGGGCTCTGAAAAGTGGGGCTGGAGAGGGAACGAAGGTCTGTGGTTGGGCTTCCCATCCCAAAATTACTTCCAAAAGGTACAAACTGAACCCTGAGTGGCTGGAATTTATTTTTAAAGTCTTTCTGAGCCAGTCAGAGGGGTTTCAGGGTCCTTGGTGGATGATTAGGAGAAGTGGACTTAAGGAAATAGCATCGACCTCCTGGACCAGGGCTCAGCCTCGTGCCTCCAGGAGGTACCGCTGGAAGAGGCCACTCAAAATGATGCTAAAAGTGCTAAAACTGGTAAAACCTTGGCTGGGAAGTGTCTCTTTGGGTGTTCCCAGCCCTGCTTCGACCTCTCCAGTCTCAGGGGGGTTACCACAGAGCGTTTTGGGGGCTGCTGTGCCCCAAATGTATCGTTTGGTGAGCTGAAGGCACCCAAAACCAGATGGGTTTGTGCTTCTGGGTGTGATGAGATCTTCCATATGCTCGGAGCGAATCTGTAACCCACACTAACACATGGGAACACATGGAAACCCAAGGAAAACTCCTGTTTCCACACATGGAAGCAGTTCAGAGGCAGCTAACGAGGACTGCTCCAGGCACATTCCCATTTTCAAAGAGTTTTGTAGCTGGGCTTTTTATTTTTCTCTCGTGGTGGAAAACAACTGTTGTGTAGAAAAGGAATTTATAGGAGCAGTGACATTTTTTCAAAGCCAGTTTCATGTTTGTCATCTCATCCTTCTTGCAGGAAGAACAACGAATGCTGCCTGGCTTTTGGCAGCTATTCTAAGGCCAAAAAAAAAAAGCTGTTTATTTTGCTCTTTTTGTTGTTATCAGCGCTGAAAATTAACGACTGTGTTTTAAACCCAAAGGTTCTTCTGGGGTGCAGGAATTTCCTTCCCCTCCCCACCCAGCGACGTGCCAGGAGTTTTTATTTAAAATGACAAACCCTGTTGGGTTTTAGGTCCCTGACAGATCTTTGGGGGCTATGTCCTGTTTGCTGATGTGCTGTAGAGGGGTTGAGCTGCAGGTGGACCCAGGCACAGCACCCGCTCATGGGGCTGAAGTGGAATTAAGAGCTGAACAGCCCCAGGGCAGGTGCAGAACAGGCAGAAAAATTTGGGATGGGAAGTGTTTCAACAAAACAGTTCCCGTTGCCCAACAAGTCAGGCTAAATAGAGGATTTCTCCTCCAACTTGTCAGGTAATTACTGAGGGAAGCATATGGTATCTCCTCGGAAGTCTTGGAAAGGGATCAACACCAGGCAGAGCGATGGAGCTGAGGGGATTCGGGAGGAGTGGGATGGGGATTGACTTGGAGGAGTTGGTGGGTGCTTGGGAGGGGGTTTGGACCCCTTCTGGTGTCTGTTCACCCCTGGGGCTCGGGCTCCTGGCTGCCCAGTGGCCCCCAGAGCCCAGGGCTGTGCTGCTGAGGTTGGATGAGGACACTCTGCATCGCCAGAGGGTTTGGGGAGAGCTGGCTTGACCCTCAGCACTGGGGTGTTTTGAAGGGTCAGAGCTGGGGAGGTGTTGGCAGGGAGGAGAACATCAAGTGGAGACCTGTGGGTGGGCAAATGTGGGGCTTGAGCAGCCAGTGAGGGAGCTTGGATGTGTCAGGTTCTGTAGAATCACTGTGGCTGGATCACCTCTAGCAACAAGTCCCATCTTCCTCCCAGCATTTCCCAAACCACTAGACCAGAACCTCAAGGGCTACATCCACTCGTTTTTTGAACCCCTCCAGGGATGGTGACTCCACCACCTCCCTGGGCAGCCATCTGACATCTCCTGGAGCAAGGGGAGCCCAGTTGTGCTCGAGTAAGAGGGTCGTGTTGCTTGTAATAGCTCCCATCATGGGGAGGTGGTGAGGAGTTGGGTGGTGGCCATGGAGCCTTGAGCAGAAGTGGAGGCCAGGAGCAAGGCTGGTCCATGCTCTGCAGATGGGAGGTTTGTGTGGGCACCCAAGACATGGGTTGCTAGGAGTGAGCCTTGCAGATCAGTGCCTCTCTCACTCCTTAGAAGTCCAGCTCCAAGTTGATGTCCTGCTGAGGTCAAGTGCTTCAGCTGTGGAGCTGCTGCTGGTAGACACGTGGCTGAAGGTGCAGAGCATGAAGTTTGGTGTCACCAGCATGTGAAGCTTTCAAACTGTTTGTTGCCCAGAGCTGAAGGAAATGTGTGTCCTGCTCTGTGTTGGCAGGGAGGGTTTGTTGGCTCAGTACAGGGTGAAGGTGCCAGCAGCAGGTCAGGGATCTCCAGAGGTCCCTGGTCCATGGTTGGAGCCACACTTGATCAGTGACTTTGTGAAGGTTGGAGCCTCGGAGGGTGGTCAGCTCTAGAGGAGGTAGATCTGAGCACTGCAGATGCTCGTGTCCTGCCTGATAAATCCACTCCTAGGTCCATCCCCACCCATGCAGTCTCTGGCTTCAGTTGCCTGGGGACCTACCAGCTGAGGAGGATCCAAAAGAGTTCTCTTGGGAGACAAAGGCTGACCCCTCTGGTGCCCAGTTGATTGCATCCTCTTAAGCACTGGCTTCTGGAGATCTGTGCACTTCATGTCATCCAGGATCACCTCATTCTGCCCTTGGCCTTCTCCTCTGCCCCTTGGTCTGATGCCTTCTGCTGGTGTCTCCTGCTGCACATCTTCATGCAGCCCCTGCCAGAGTGGTTCTGTGGTTGGGGTTCCTTGGTGCTGGGTTTCTCCCAGTGCTTCAGATTCAATCCAGTGCTGTGACAAGTTGAAATAGTAGAAAAATACCAAGAAATAGGAAGAAAATAAAGAATGACTCATCTGGAGACAGAAGCTCTTTAGATGTGGAGGTGGCATTGCTGGCCACAGGCGTGGTGGATTCATAGTAGTGGGGAACTCTGGTTTTAGGCCAAATTATGCAGAGTTAATAACTTCTTGGCAAACCAGCCCCCCAGCCCTTAGCCCCACGTGCTCCCCATGGTTTGCTGGAGTGTGAGACCATGCAGAAACACTAAAGAGTCATGAGCCCGTGTGCTGCAGGTGCCTTTGTCCAGCTTGGAGCAACTTCTCTGCCCAAACCCATGAATTCCACACACTTTTTTGTCATTTGGTTACCTACATTGTCAGGCCTGAGGCTGCCCCAGAGCTGGGGCAGCAGTGGAGGCTGCTGGGGCAGCAGTTGGGGG